CGGGTGTTTCAACATTCTCTCTTCTTGGGGGAACAGCTCTTGGGGGAATCAAGTCCCTAAGAAGCATGTTCTCATCAACTGGCTCCGCTGGATTGGAGCTAGAGCTCTCACCAACATCGCCCCTTGTTGGCCTAGGGCCAACTTCTCTAGGTTCCTCACGCCTTGACATCGTGCTATAAAATGAGAAAACGATTCAAAAACATGACACTAAAGTCCACTGTGGACGACTCAACAAGAATTAATACTGTACAACACTTAGCATGCAAGACTATGCAAGAAACATTTTAACATAAACAAGTAAGCAAGTAAACACATAGGCAGTTAAGCATGCTCATTTAAATAAGATTCCATGTAGCAAGTAGTCAAGTAAACAATACAAACAACATCCCATGCGACTCTATGTAGGCCTCTACCCGTCGTCCTAAAGGTTTTCGAACCTTTGCTCTGATACCAAATTTGTAACGACCCTAACTGATGCCAATAATTTTTTTTTATTTTAAAAATTCGGCATAACCTCCCCTAAAAATGGACCTACCGCAACCTGTTTAAATTCATTTTTAAACTTATCATGGCTCAAATTCCGAATTCACGGCAATAATAGATGATAATACATAATCAAATGACCTCAATAATACTTCAAACTAGTATTACTCTCCCCATTCATCAATAAGGTTTACATGCTATCAAATTCACATTCAAAATATCATCAAATACCTTAATTACATTACATGACAAAGTTTTGCAAAATATACATATACACCTTCACACTTTTAGTGCTTTGCAAAAATAATGGGAGATATACAAAAGACACAAAAGTGAGCTTCTAGTATCGCTCAGGCTTGAGGTGGGTTATCATCCACCAGTTCTTTTCCAAGACCTGAAAAAAATGTATAAATAGTAGGGTGAGCTATATGCTCAGTAGGTGACACTTAAGACACAAATCTTGTGTCCTTGTGAATTCAAGCAAAGCATAGGCCAATGGGAGATAGGGATCATACAACGTAGGGGATCAAATATAACATACAATTCAATTCCAATTATAACCAATGCAATGCAATGCAATGCAATGAAATGCAATGCATGTCAATGACACTCCCCATTTTCATTCTCAAAACCATCACTTTCAAACGTTAATACAGTTCGCCCTTTGACAACCCCGCTGCGACACGAGAGGAGGATTGGCTAGTGTCCCTGACCCTTGGTAACCCCGCGGCGTCATTATGGGGCCCAGCTAGCTCAACCACACTAGGGCGACTCCCTAGTCCCCTCTAGGCTATATTAACCTCCGGCCCGTTGGTAACCCCGCAGCGACCGGGTTTATCAAAACCATTTCACAAAAACTATCATCTCCCAAAAATTCCTCATTTTCATTTCAAGACAAATTCTCCCATTTCATGCATCCCAATGACATGTCCAAGAATGTACATATAATCTCAATATCATGACAATGTGAAATTTTGGCACAATACAATTAAGCATGGTCTCATACATCCCTTTCAGCAAGTTTACACATAGTAGACATAAACTCAACACATAGGCATGCTTTTCACATAATACATCACATGTGCATAAACATACATTTCTCTAGACAACATTAAAATAATCATTAACACAATTAATCCCCAAGTAAAGCATGTTAGCACATAAAAGAGGTGTAATTCACAAAAAACACCACAAAGCCATCATCTATACATGCTTTTCACATAGACAAGTCATAACCCTAAGACATGAATTTTCTCTAAACATCACTTATACCTCATTGAAGCAATTAATTCTCAAATTTAGCATGTCTAGCACAACAAAAAAAAAAGTATAACTCACAATGGAACAAGAAGAGAGTGGATTAAGATGCCCCTACCTCAAAAATGAGCAAATCCTAGAAAATGGGTCCTAAATTTCGAAGTTTAAAGGGTGCACCAAATCTGGAATTGTTGGTATGGATGCGTAGAGCTCGACACAAGCTTCGTTTTGCCTCAAACGGCACTCAAATCTACCAAGAGATGATGAATTAATCAAAGATTCAAGTTGCAAAGGAAAAAGAAAAAGAAAAAGGCAAAGAGATAGAGCACTGGCCGAGAGAGAGGATTCAGCGGGGAAAGAGAATGAGCATAAAAAAAAAAGTCTCTAAACCATATGTTTGAGTGGGTGGTGGGTCCCGCCGATTTTCTTTTCTTTTCCCTTTTCTTTTTGTTTCAAAATACTCAACATATAAACAAAATGCACCACATACCTATATAAGACACAAACATTACACAAACTATTTCTGAACATGACTTGGAAAAAAAAAGGATATGCTAAGTGTCAAAGAGCATAGATTTTTCATTAACAAAATAGATTGTGTTGCTATTTATTGAGTGGTACTCTGAACAGATTAAAAATGCACATCAATAAATGATTTATTTTTTATTTTTGAATAAGTAAAACAAAAAAACATCTGGAGATGTGAAGATTGAAGAATACATGAAATTTCAGGTCCTTGAAAAGTTCACTCTTTAAGAAGATTTCTCAGTTACTGCAACTGTTCTATTTTCTAACTTATTGAAGGCATGGTTTTACTTCTATATCAAAATATATATTATAAGGGAAGAGCAAAGCATACAGTATGCCATCCTCCTTTCCCTTTTCATATTTTTACCCCTTCTCTCAAAAGAAGAATCACCCTAGGACCAAAACAACTCTAAGAGATTGTTTATATCTGCACATGTTGTGAACACACATTTCAAATTTATGAATGCCTAGCAGCCAAGAAAAGCAAATGGAAACACAACCACCATATGCACAACTTTCAACGACTTAAAGATGGGGAGATAATAAAATACATCATAAATCATATGAAGAGTATGTACTTTCTTTATTGATGTGTTCTCAAATTTTTTTTTTTTTTTTTTTTTTTTTTTTTTTTTTTTTTTTTTACTCCAAAAGGATAACAATTGCATGAGCAAAAGACTGCACCTGTCAATTCAAACTAAATGGCCAACAATAAGATTTTCAAGCTTACTTGACTTCATCAAGAATGCTGACGTCAAAAACAGCAGGGATGATACCAGCACCTATTCCTTATATCTTATGTGAGAGGGCCTATTACATGAATTTATGTATTCAGTTAGGAAAGAGTAAACAAGTGAAGTTGTTTCTCTTCTCAAAATATCTTGATAGAAGAAAATGAAAAATAAAATACATAAGAAAAGAAAATTATCGTACTCGGAGAAGAAAAACATGGAAAATTAGAACAAGAAAAAAAAAGATGAACAAAACAAAACAGGTAACAACAGCCAAAGATACTCATTATAGAACATGATATAACGAAAGGAAGAAGCATTGCCAAGAAATTTCTACTTAATCTGAAACTGCCTGAAATTTCATCATAGATTCAGAATCCTAACCAAACAGAACCATCATTAATATCTTAAGCAGGGAAAACAATTCGTCTTTGCAAGCCAAAATGATATTTAGGTTTACTAACTTCAAAAGGATAGAGAAAATGCATTTCCTTAGCAGGAGTAAAATGATTTCAATGGCAGCTAAGGTCACTATAGTTGGAACACTTTTCAGGGCTACCAAGTGACATCAACATTGTAACAATAAATAACGAACAAAACAAATGGTAACAACAAAATATACAAAAGAAAAGAGTAGACGAATTTCTATTAAAAGTTTCTTTCACAGTGATCGAACATAACTTATCAATACTACTTGAGACACAGATCTATGAATATCTTCCCTTCTGCATTCATACTTAGATATCCATAATCTAGGCACGGGACCAAATTACAAACCACATCTCCACCAAACCTATTTCATTTACACAGTCTGATGGGTAGGCCGGATTAAGATTTCAAACAAAGGGTGAACACATCACAAACCCGAAGAGCTCAAGTATCTTTCATGAAATTTACTGCTTATCTGCCCTCAGAATTTTTATTGCTTCGTGACATTGAACGAATGTACTTTTCAAATTTCTCAAGATTGATGGGTTTGAGCCCATCTAGCCACCACAATATAATACATTTAACCCTTAAACATACAGATAACCAATCCAAGGAAACAAATCTACAAGTAGAATACTAGAACTGTTACCGCATCATGTTGTGTATCAAGTGACATCCAAAAAAGGAAAAAATGTATCATCATTAATACAATCTAGAGCCGAACTTACTAAACATGAGAACTCATATTTAAATCCCTTTCATTCAGTCAGCGCAACAACCTTGTACGATAGTCAATCTCCAATATATCTCTCTGCTTTTGTTATTATAAATTCATGTTTACAGGACACTATGCCAGACACCATGTATGAAGAATGAAGGCATCTATGCTTGTCTTATACAGACTAGGGGCAACCTAATGAAAGAAATGAATTTGTGACAATAATGAATCTCGATTGATAAGAGAAAACAGGAAATGCATCATGATACATATAGAATAATAATGGAGGACTGTCTACAAGCATAGAAAGTAAATGCGTAATTGGAAACATCCATTGCTAATTAACTTGTAAGGGTGGGTGTATCTCCTACTATCAGAAAAAAAAGTACTCCAACAAACTTAGTACTCCTTGCAAAAAGCTAATGACATTTCCATCAAATGTAACCAAATAATTTTACCACTCAACACTCCCAACCAAGATATCACGATCATATCCATTTATTGATAAAAAGATTACAGTGTAAAATTTAAAAGCACCCGCCAAGAACCAAGATACATCTATGTTATTTAACTCAATGATAATGAAACTACACAATTTATACAACAGCAGTTTGGTTAAATATGATATAAAACGAAAAAATGAATAAGGCATGTAAGACAATGTGACTCACTGGGCTTTCCTCACTTAGAACAGCAGTTTCAGTCGGTTCAACAGAATACACCTAAACGTAAGCAAAAGAAAGGCTCAACAACAGAAACCAACCTTTTATCTTCCCTGTATCAGTAATTGTTCCTCTTCAGAGCCCCCCAAAAATCTGGACCAGTATTTACATAATGAACCTACACAATGAGTGTCAGTCAAAGTTTACAATGTCTTCACTATCGATAATTATGTGGGGGATTCGGAAAATGTTGGGCCAATCTTCCCCTTTCTCCCTTTGACAACGTGGTTTCAGCAATGGACATTGGAATATACACAGGTAAGTGAGGGTGTTGGGCAGCCCCTCTTCTGGCAAGGAATGGAGCTTAGGGCAATTAACAATGATCAGACTTGTAAGAGAGGTGAGGTGTTGAAGGCCCTTGTGGTTCAGTGATTTCAGATTTGGAAAATTTGCAATCCTTAGATAACTAAGAGTGGTGGGCAATAGCCACTCCTCCGGGAATGACTCCAACTCTTCTTCTTCTTCTAATAGCCACTCCTCCCAAAGTGACTCCAACACTTCTTCTTCTTCTTCTTCTTCTTCTAGCCACTCCAGAAATGACTCCAACACTACTACTTCTTCTTCTTCGTTGTTGTCGTCGTCTTCGTCTTTTTCTTCGCTGATGCAGAGGCTTTCAAGAGATGGGAGTGCTTGCAAACCCCACCCCATCCGGCCCTCCATGAGTTTATTGCAATTACATATGGTAAGTTCACGTAGGTTGGATGGCAAACCTCCGTTTGGAAATGATTCAACTTCTGGACAATGAGATATAACCATATTTTGAAGAGATGGGAGGAGACTGTGCATTTGTTGCGGCAACAACTGCAGATAACTGCAGTTACGAACTTCAAAATATGTTAGATTGGGAGCGGACAATCGTCCAACTGCATTGCAATCATGTAATACAAGATCTATCAGATTTTGGAGCTCGTTAGGAAACAAAATGTCTTCGCCACCCCAGATCTCTAGAGAACGTAGCTTTGGGAAGAAACCTAACGACAGCAATTTGAGTAGACCACAATTGTAGAATATGCACAAAGTTTCTATAGAACATGTCAAGTGGTAATTACGCTCCGTCTCCTCCTCCGACAGAATTGGAAACTCTAAACTATAACAGTCCCGGATGTCAAGTGTTTTCAATGTAGCAGGTAGACCACCAGTCGGTGGCAACCCCACACCTGGAATAGACACAAACTTGTCGCATTCCTCTATCTTCAACAATTCAAGTTTTAGTAATTTGCACAATTGAAAAGGAAATTCTTTCAATTTTGGTATCCATATAATCTCTAACTCCTGAAGAGAATTCAGGTCTTGCAGCTGCGTCGGCAATACCGTCAAGTATGACATATAAGAAATTTTCAATTCCTCGAGAGAAGGTGTGTGTTGCAGCATCTGCCCAATTTGATTTGACACAAGCCGATTACATCCAGAAATTTCAATTTTCCTTAGAGACGGGATGTGGTTGGGTAACTCACCGGTCAGCTTGGGACAGCTCAACAAAGAAAGCTCTAAAAGACAAGAGAACTCTCCGACCCCTAATGAATGCCAATTTTCCCACTCTGGCATTCTTTCAAAACTTAGTGACTCCAGAGATCGAAATGGTTTGGTCGAAGAAGAAGCATTCCCATAGAACTCCCGACCCACCTCCACTATTGCTTTCATCTCTTCAATGCTTAAAAATTTTAGAGAGGGTAACTGGCCGATCGACGGCAAGGAATTGCAATAAGCACACTTACTAAGTTTCAAGGACACCATCTTACAAAAAGGAGTGCTCTCTAACCAATTTGGAAATCTTGTGCCCCCATAGTTAATGATCTCAAGATCCTTCACCATTTCATGAGGCTGTAGCTTGTCAAATATTTCCCTTTCCTTTCGTGAATCATCAGTATCACCACACCATTCCAGTTTTAACCCTTCAAGGTGCACCTTTCCTTTCAGATTGGCTTCTGATGCATCTAGACTACCGGTTACATTTTGAAGCCCTGAAATGCAGAGTTCTCCCCGTAGATGACAAAGTTCTTTCAACCCATTGATCCTTGACCCACTATTCTTGCCAACTACAAAATATGTTAAATGTTGGAGACCTTTCAATCTGTTCATTTGAGTCGGCATTTCTGTTATTGCAGTTCCTCTAACATCAAGATGGTGCAAGTTGATTAGTTTTCCAATATTCACAGGTAACTCAATGAGACGATAACAATTTGACAAATCTAATGTTTGCAAATTGCACAAGGTTGTTATTGAATCAGTTAATCGTCTGATTTTTGTCCCAGAGAGATCCAAATAGCGTAGAAGTATCAAACTTTCGATCGATTTAGGCAATTCAGAAATCTCATATCGAGATAAAGATAACACCCTTAAGCATCTCAGGCTCGACAACATATCATGGAGTACCTTGTTGCCCAAGTAGTGCCTCCATCCAACTCTTGAAAATGATATGAAAGTCCGTAAACACTTAACCTCATTAACAACCTTAAATTTCTCAAATGTGTCATATATGCCTTGCACAAATGAAAAATAGCGAAATTTTTCACAAATATGATCAAGTGGCTCATCATCGTTTAACCTAACAGAAAACTTTCCAGATATATGTTGAGCTAAATCAAGGATTAGGTCATGCATTACAAAATATGAATTACTATCACTCGTTCTCTGAAAGAAAGACCTTGATAATAGTTCGCGAAAGTAGTTGTTACCTTCATCTTCCACTAATGTATTGCTTTTGGATTTTTGCACAAGATCTTCGGCTATCCATAACTGTACTAACTTTTCCTTTTCAAATTCATAACCTTTAGGAAATTTTGAACAAGACACGAAACATCGCTTTAAATGTGAAGGGAGATAATGATAGCTCAATCTTAGAGCCGGAGAAATGTCGCTCTTCAAATCCCATATCTCGCTTTTTAATATATATTTCCAGTAGTCAATATCAATATCCAGGTTAGACCGCAAGAGACCTCCAAGTGATTTAATAGCTAAAGGCAAGCCTCCACATTTCTTCACAATATCTATGCCAATTTTCTCTAGCTCTGGATTAGCCATATAATCTCCATTCACAAATGCGTGCTTTACAAATAATGACCAACAATCTTGAAACGGCAATTGCTGCAAGTGATGACTAGGAATGGTGCCCATTACTGACGCAACCTCCTCACTGCGTGTTGTAACGATAATCCTACTATCCTGTACTCCAGCACTGAAAGGTTTTCTTAAGCGGTCCCAGTCATTATAATTGTGATTCCAAACGTCGTCTAAAACAATTAGAAATTTCTTTCCCGCAAGGCTGTCTTTCAACTTGATTTGAAGCTGATCAAGGCTGTCGATATTATTGTTTGATGCGGTGACATCGTCAAATATTTTCTTTGTTATCGTGTAACTATCAAATGCATCAGAGACGCAGACCCATGCTTTCATATGAAATTTCTCATTTACTTCAGCATCATTGTAAACGAGTTGAGCAAGGGTTGTCTTGCCCATCCCACCCATTGCTACAATGGGGATCACCTGAATCTGATTCCCAGCTACATTGTCAGACAACAACAATTTCATTATCTTCTCTTTGTCGTCGTTCCTCCCATAGACCTCAGATTCATCTACCAGCGAAGTTTCTTGTCGTTGCCATTGTTTCCTTCCAACATTCTCTGTCAGATTAAGAGAATCTTTTTGGTTGCCAAACAACTCCAACTTACTGACGACCTCTTTCATTCTGGACTCGATTGCTTCATCAGAAAGATAAGCAGAAATCGAGACGGAATGAGTTTTACGTAATCTTTTCCATGGACGCAAAATTCCTCCTGCACTTGTGCTGCCTTGGGTTTGGAACTGATCACGGTCAGCCTCCACCTTGCTCCTCAAAGCTTTGGTAGCGATCTCCTCCAGTAAGTCCTCAGCTTGGTAGACAACATGCTGGAGCTCGTCGAGCCAATCTTTCACGCCCTTGTTGGTAATTTGCTTGGCCTCCGCATCATCCAACACTGCTTGAATGGCTATCAGGTTTATCCTCAGCTTGTCCACGAGTCCATCATCAAATTTTCGTTTGGAAAAGAAGCTCATGAAATCCGCAGAAACCAACCGCTCAAACAGCGCGTCAAAGGCTGCCGAGAGAAGACCTCCACCCACGAATTCTACAGCCATTATCTTCTGTATCTAGAGAGAGAGAGAGTGACAATAGTTGTGAAGAAGAGAGAGTATTGGGGCAGTAGAGCAAAGATAATAGAATATCAAATTATTAATTCAATCTTGGATTATGCATTCAAATTGGGTATGTCCACTCCTCATTCCAATCAAAATTGTCAATTAAAATAAGAAAAATATCAACAACTAGTTGGTAATAATTTATGGAACAGAAATGACAATGATGGAGGTTTTGGAGTCTTGCACATACTTTTCGATTCTTAAGAGGGAGGAAATGCCATGAATCCAGCCTTGGAGGATGAATTCACATAGGCATGTCCGCTCTTTCCTTCCAATTAAAATCGACCGTCCTCCAGTTTTGGACTTTTACACATAACTATGCCATTGTTTGTTTGGGAGCGTCGAATCGAATGGCTGGATTTAAAATTAAAGAAAATTTAGTACAAAGTTCAAACTAAATTTTCTCTTATGCCAAATCCAAAACACTAACTCGGTACTCTCAAACGCAACATTAATACATAGGCATCGTCAATGCTTAGGGAACAATCAAAACTGAAACTGCTCTGCTTCGTGTGCACATCTGATAATTGCAGCCTCACTTGGCCAAAAACATGAAAAGAAAACATAAACAGCAAATACATTAAGCATCTATTGCAGTGTGCTTCAACATTAAATACAACTATTTGGTTTTATTGAGCCTAAAAAAAAAAAAAAACGCTACAAGAATAATTAAAAAAAAAAAAATCACAAATTAAAATTGAGATAACAGAATAACAAACCTGACTTTGCTCTGCTTTTATGAATTTGAAAGAGGTTTGCTTCTAGAGCCCTAATTTTTAATTCTCTTAAACAAACCCACAAACACTTACTACCAAATAACATCTAATTCCCCTTAATTTGGCTTCAATTTACATATATATATATATATATATATATATATATATATATATATTTTGAAAGCAAAAGGCTTGACTGAATAATGCAAATAAAATAAAAGACTTTGAAGAGGTTACATGACATGAACCCTATAGAAGAAATGACAATAATAACCTATCAAGAACCTATAAGATAAAAATGAAGGAAATTCAGTACCTTAGTTCATGAACAAGAATCGATCACTCGATCTCCACAAGGAATATCACACCGATTGGACTACCAAACCTTTTACGAGTTAAAAGTCCTTTCCAGTAACCAGTAGTGGAATGGTCAGAATTTTTTTTAAACAAGTCTCACTGTTTTGGCTTCCATTTTTACAAGTTCTTTATGATTACAATCGCAAATTTTCTTAACTTTGTAATTATAAATCTAAAAAATATGGTAAATAATAAATAGATGACCCTCAAATAGTTGAATTTATATTTTGTTTTATATGTTCTTACAACTAATTGGAAGTAAATTACACCCAGAAATAAAACACCCATATCTCTAAGTAAAAAAATTACTCTACCTCCTTCAGCTTTTTTCAGTATTACAAAATAACCTCTCCTATATTTACTTATTTTCTTTTCACATCTATATTTTTTAAAACAACAAATGAAAATATATATCATTTATCTTTCTTACCGTTGTTTGATTCCTTATGGCATGAGAGGAATATATTATTTTTGAGCAGGGTGTTACCGAGTTTGAAGAAGCATGACTTGTTTTTTCTACTACAGTACTACTTCATGTAGTTCAACCACTATATTATTAATTTTCAATATTATATACTAGTCATTTATTTATTTATTTATAATTATACACCTATAAAATTTTAATACTATTACCCACCTCACATAATTTTCTTGTCCGTCCCATATTGTAAGAACATACTTTAAGGTGCCATGGAAAAATACCAATCTATTCTAGCTTTCACAACATAAAATTATTTTTAAACTCTCAAAAACAATTAAACTGGACCACTAAAAGTTGAATGAGTGTTGATAGAAGATTTATTAGACAAATTATTGCAGCTGATCAAGGCTGTGGATTGCCCTATTTGTACAGTCTGTGGCGAAGAAGATGACTCCATTATTCATCAACTGTGCTATTGTACAGTGGGTGGTAGGGTGGTGTGGAAAGCTAGTCCTCTGACAATTGATTTTGTTGCTGCAAGGTTTGTCTCTAGGCGGCAGGTATGGTATCACTTATCCGATAGTGTTTTGGTGTATAAAATTTGAATATTTTGAATGAAAATGAGATATTTTGAGTTTAAAATAACCCTATCCAAAGCATCTTTGTAATTAGTAGAGTGTTAGAGTGTTATATAATGTATAAAGTTTTAATCTTAGAATAAAAAAGTAATTCACTCAAAATCAGGGCCAGGTCCATGGATGAGAATAGATTCATTATAATTTGGTAGAAATGTTACACAAGTTTAGAATTTTCAATACTAAAACATGTCCACGAACTCTTGACTAAGTTATTCTCCCCATCTGTGTTTCTCTATTTGTCCAACACAGTAGTTTTTCACAAGGCCCAATATGAAGCAATAAGAATGTTTCCCTGTGGTATGACTTTTGTTTTGGATTCCGAATGGACCCATATAGAATGTGGAAAATAGCCAAATTAGCCCATATTCTTAGAGGGAAATGATTTTTGTACTGAATCATTATAGTGAATTGTTAGACCTACTATTTTTAAGAGTAAGACCCTCCAATTGTATTTAGCATAAATAATCAATCAAAAATTATTCAATTAGACAATTCACTACAAGTTTTCGGTATGAGCATGCTACTTTTCTTAGAGAAGGTAATTGAAACTGACCAATAGTGAAAATTTTCGACAGCTTATAAAAACCTCTTCCTATATTGCTTTTCTAAAATGTTATATAGGACTAAAATGCAACACCAAAATATATTTATCACACCCCATTCGGTGGTACCAGAAAACACATTTTGAAGTGAATCAAATGAACTTCCATTTTTTTTTCACACAGTGGCACCTACTGGCATGCAAGTCTTGGCCCAATGCCTAAAACCTTGTACCATTCATCCCACTGAACCATACACTTATACATACACACACAGTAAATAGAATTTTATCAAGAGCACTGCAGAAGAAACCAAATGTTAAAAAGTGTTCATCAAGAGATGAGATGGACACCACGATACTCATACATATTCAACTCTTTCTGGCCTGCTAACGAAAACTATAGCATATACCCAACGAGGTGTTAACATTCATCCCGAAATCTAATCTTTACTCAAAAATGTCACCCCGAAAATGCATAGATCTGCTATCATGGTTAAATCTTGCGACAATGCAACAAGGTTCATTCATAAATGATGTGGAAATTCATTGTACAACAGAATAACATTTAAATGACAACTCATGAAAGCTTGAAATGAATTAGCTGTAATGTATAAACATCCACCCTGCTGCAAAGAGAGATCAACCAAGCAGTTCCTTCTTATGAGAAAGTAGAAGAACAAAGACTGAAGTACCCGAATTAAAGAACTCGTAAATTAAACAGCTTGTTGGCTTCATCTTAATTATCAGGCAAGTCACTGACCCTTTCAAAATGTACAAAAGAACATTTCGGTCCACAAAAGAACATTGGCTCCTGATTCTTGTGCTTCTTGCAAGAGTCTGGTCCATTTGGTTCGTAGATGGCGCCAAAGACTAAGAAGTAATGACTCTTTCTGCCAAAAAGTAAGATGAAAGTTGTCAACTTAATCAGTTAATAATTAGCAGTCAGTCATGGGTAGTCAGTAAATTTTGATGGCAAATTTGATGAGTTTAAGCATCGAGTAAAAGGTTAATCTCTCAGACACTATGGTTGAACAGAACAGATTTGCAATAAAAACATTCTATAATTGAACAAGAACTCATATGTGAATTAAGCGTATTTGCATCGTCCACAACAATAATCCATTTAGACTTCACTGGTTGAGAAATATAACAGTTTTCACATCCATTTCAAGTTATAACATGTACAATCAGTCATAGACATCCACTAATCTTCTTGCAGAAGGGAGTTGACTTATTTTATTTTTTCTTTTTCTTCTTTTTGTTGGCAAGGAGTTGAAGGTGGGGCAGAAGAAGAAAAATAGGTAAATAACATCCTCATTTGCAGTACTGGATTTATTGGTATTTGAGGTAGTTTATTCCTAAATGTGTTAAAATTCAACTGGTGTATTATACGAGTACGTATCAAGATTGAATTTGAGATTCTTAATAATTTGGAAGGATGTTTAATGCTTTGGGGGAGAAATTTTTTATGGTACGACTACGAGGAGAAACTTTTTGTATCAAATTAAATGAAGGTTGAGGATGCTACTTGTAGAATTCCACAATGGGTAACTATAACCAACAATTTGATTTTTCATGGCTGAATGAAAAGAATCATGAAAGGACTGAAAACGAAGTGATTTTTCTATGCCTGCAACTTTGATGGAGTATTCATGTTTGCAGATTGCACAGTGATTCCCCATCACAACTTTTAAAATACATAGACTTGTACAACAAATATACTCTCATGTACACAACTCACTCACCACACATTCCATGCTTACATATTCACCACACATTCTATGCTTGGTCCCCAAGACTGTATGCCTATAAATACAGGCTTATTGTATATTTTTCCTATTACTCAATGACACATTAAAGACATTCAACACAAATATCAATTCAATATACAGAGATTCACTCTTCAAACACTACAAGTTCTAACAATAACCTCATCGATGACGTTGAACACTGTGCTCCATAATACTAAAGGAATGTTTTTTTTGACCATGTGAATTGGAAGGTCCAATATATTAGTATTTAAAAGAACAAAATATCATCAATAAAGCTATAAGAAGAAAAAAAATTGGAAGCCATTGCCACTGCTGATGCTATGGAATTTCTTTTAGGATTAAACGGAAGATTTTATCATTTACCTTTTTCGTAAATATCATTTTCAATAACAGTTTTGATTTCCTAAAATGGTTCACCCCAAGAGAAACTTGAAAAGTACTATGTATATAATACAACAAATGGAGCAATTAATTTTTCATTAGATGTTCAAGCATGCCATAACAATCTGCAAATCCTAGCAGGATTTAAATTATAGCAGAGTATCTATATTGGAAAAAGAGAGTAACACAATATGCAAACCTTAAATATGGGTGTCGCATCAGTTTTTGGTTTCATTCCTACAGATGACTTATTCGCAAGAATCATCACATCTTCTGGATGGAAATCACCAAATTCAGCAAGGGTATTGCTTCTCCCCAAATTTATTTGGCAAGTTCTTTAACTTTCTTTGGCAGTCAGAAAACACTCATACCATCATCTGAGTTTAGCAGAAAAGATTCAAACTATTTCTAAACATGACTTGGAAAAAAGAAGAAGATATGATTCATGTCAAAGAATATAAATTTTACCTTAACAAAATAGATTTCTTTTCTATTTATTTAGTGGTATTCCGAAAAGGTTTAAAATGCACATCAACACATGAAATTTCACATCCTAAGATGCATCAGATTTTAAAGCTCTTTGTCCTCTGGAATTGAAAGCGTTACAAAATTTACACACCCTAAAATCTTCAGAGAGTGAAACTTTGGAAAGAAACATACTGACAACGATTGGAGAAGATCACAGCCGCATATCTCCAAAACTTCAATGGACGTGTGGTAATGCTACATCTGTTTGCTTGATATGGGAAACTCTAATAAACTCCTACAGTTCCATATGTCAAGTGTTTTCAATGGAGCAGGATGTAAACCACCAATAGGCATCATTTTCATCCCCTCTGGTAGTGGTAGGGACTGTAGAGAATTGCATCCTTTAATATCCAGAGTCTTAAGCATCGGCGGCAATCCCATCTCCGGAAATGACACAGGGCTCTGACATTCCTCTATTTTCAACCTTTCAAGTTTTATTAATCTGCACAATTCCAGAAGAAGCAATGCAATGACATCCACGATATCATGTATGAGTTCATGGGCTACCTACTGATAAGAAAATAAAATTAAACGCATCATTGAAACATCCAAGATGTGTTCATCTCTAGTTTGGTTAAACTGCTCAGACTTTTCCCAAGTTCAGCTAGCACTGAAACTTGTCTAAGCTGGGTCAACCAATCTCTAGCCTATTCAGAAACCTGAGCATAACCTATTCATTAACATATCAACGCATGCCTATGATCAATAGGCATTTTAAAATGCCTAAAATACCCATGTTAGGCACAAAACAACATCATTAACATGCCCAACACAAAATTTAGCCAATAGGCATGTTATACAAGAATGAAAACAGATTCTTAGTTCACAATGAATTCCTAGCTGGCTTTCACTTTCCTAATTTAGATCGGCAATGCATCATGTCCCCATCTCCTATGCTTCAAGATCTGACTAATTCAACACCTTAGAATATAGCAGCTAAAACCTAATCTATTCCATGTAACTTGGGCATTTCTTAGTTCATATGAAGATCCCCAAAAATATTTCAATTATTTAGATATTTGATCAAACACACGAGAAGACAATATTTTTGCAAAGATTGAGATGCTTTTAGATTGTCAAAACCATAAACTGGCTTTAACCACAACCTGCTCATTGGTTTCCTCTACTCTGAAGACTTCTTTGGTAAGACTCTCAAGGGGACACATAATGGCAGCTAAGAATAACTACCTTCTTTCAATAGCTCAATGAAATCAGGCTCAGTGTTGCTCAGAAATTAAGCTAAAGCGCAACTTAGAATAGTGAACGAGTGTGAACAAACTAAATGAAAAGAAAATCTCGAGCAAATAAGTACAGGTTTGTAATAAACTTATGACATGTACTAACACAACAGCTTGCCACCAGTCTTTAGTTTGAGTTGTATGTCCTGCCCTCACCAAAAGGAGAGGTGCAGGGTTCAGGTCCCAATCGGAATGTGGATGTGTCTCTTACTAAAATAGTAACACCTAAAAAAATTAATGCATCACTCCTTGCAAAAAGCTAATGACATTTCCAGCAAATGTCAGCAAAATAATGTTGCCAGTCAATACTCCCAACCAAGATTTCAAGATCACAGAGCATCTATTGATTTCTATCTTCAATAATTTTATTACATGATACCTTCATGTAATTTTGTAACATGATTTATGAAGGATGTATTTGGTATAGTGTAAAGCTAAAAGAGCCTGCCAATTACAAAGAAACAACTTTGTTATGTAACCCAATCATAATGAAACTACACAATTATACAATAGCAGACAAATATAAAAAAATAAATAAATAAATAAATAAAAACAAAGAGTGAATAAAGCATATGTGACAATGAGACTCACCAGGATTTCCACCATTTTGAACGGCACTTTCAGCAGGTTCCGCCGAATACACCTAGATGTAAGCAAAAGAATGGCTCAACAACATAGAAACACTAACAATATGATAAATATGAATATATATATGTATATATATATGAGTACTACTTCCCTGTAAAAAGTCGGATACCCCAACTTTCTTAATGAATGTAATTATTCTTAGATGTAATAATAATATATATCTAAGAATCATTATCATAATAATATGTATCTAGGTAAGTCAGTAATACCAAGCAAGTTGTCCCTATCACGGCAACCAGGGCATAGACTTTCTCTTGAGAGCCCTTCCAAGTTTAAGATGTCTTCACCGAGGAGCTGTATGTGGGGGATTCGGGAAATGTTGGGCCAATATTCGCCTTTTTCCCTTTGGCAACGTGGTTTCAACAATGGACATTCAGATGTACCGAGGTAAGAGAGGGAGTTGGGTAACCCATATTCTGGCAAGGACTGGAGCTTAGGGCAGTTCCAGATGCGTATATCTGTAAGAGAGGTAAGGTGTTGAAGGCCCTTGTGGTCCAATGATTTCAGATTTGGAAGGTTAAAGATTGAAAGAGAGGTAAGAGTGGTGGGCAGTAGCCCTTCCTCTGGAAATGACTCTAACACTTGTTCACCCCTGATTTTGAAATCTACAAGAGATGGGAGTGTTTGCAAACCCCATCCCATCCGGCCCTTCACCAGTTTCTCGCAATTAAAGATCCAAAGTTCACGTAGGTTGGATGGTAAACCTCCGTCTAGAAATGATTCAACTTCTGGACAGTCACTGGTGATCAGTAAACGAAGAGATGGGAGGAAGGTGTGCATTCGTTGCGGCAGCTGCTTTAGATTCTCACATTTCCAAATCAAAAACGAGGTCAGATTGGGAGTGGACAATACTCCATCTCCATGGGGAAATGATACCATTTTAGGGCAATCTTTTATCTTCAACTCCATCAGATTTTGAAGCTCGTCGTGGGGAATTGAAAACGTTTCAAAGTTTATACACCCTGTGATCGCCAGAAAGCGAAGCTTTGGAAAGAAACCTAGTGACAACGAATTGAGAAGATCACAGCTGCATATCACCAAAGCTTCAATGGATATGTGGTAATGCTTGGGAAACTCTAAATTCCTACAGTTCCAAATGTCCACTGTTTTCAATGTAGCAGGAGGTAGACCACCAATGGGCATCATATTCATCCCCTCTGGTAGTGGTAGGGACTGTAGAGCATTACATCCTCTAATTATCAGTCTCTTAAGCATCGGCGGCAATCCCATATCCGGAAATGACACAAGTCTCCCACATTCCTCTATCTCCAACCTTTCAAGTTTTATTAATCTGCACAATTCCGGCGGCAATTCCTTCAAGTTTGGCATTTTTGAAATTGTCAATTCTTGAAGAGAACCTAGGTTTATTTGTTCCATTGGCAATTCCGTCAAGTTTAACATACCTGAAATCTCCCATTCCTGAAGAGGTGGCGATTGTCGCAGCAATTGCCCAACTTGATTTGGCATAAGCCGTTGGCATCCAAAAATTTTAATTTTCCTCAGGGAAGGGACATGGTTGGGTAATTCACAGGTCAGCGAGGGACAATCCACCAAAGAAAGCTCTAAAAGGCAAGAGAACTCTCCAGCCCCTGATGCATGCCATTCTTCCCACTCTAACATTTCTTCAAACCTCAGTGTCTCAAGAGATTGAAATGGTTTGATTGGAGAAGAAGTATCCCCATAGAACTCTTGACCCACCTCTGTTATTTCCTTCAACCCTTTAATTCTTAGATCTTTTAGAGAGGGCAGCTGCCCAATCGACGGCAAGGAATAGCAATTTGAACAGCTTATAAGACTTAAGGACACCAAGTTAGGAAATGAATGAGATTCCCCTAACCATTGCGGAAATCTTGTGCCTCCATAGTCAACGATGCTGAGATCCTTCAACCCTGCATGCGGCTGTAACTTATCAAGTACGTCTCTTTCCTTATGTGAATCATTAGTATCACCACCCCATTCAAGTACTAACCCTTCAACATGCTTCTTGTCCTTCAGATTGGCCTTTGATGCCTCTGGACCATCGGCTACATTTTGAAGCCCTGAAATGTGGAGTTGCCCTCGAAGTTGACAAAGTTCCTTCAACCCATTAATCCTTGACCCATTATTTTTTCCAATTACAAAATATTCTAAATGTTGGAGATTTCTGAGTTTACTGATTTGCATTGGCATTTCAGTTAATGCAGTTCCTCCAACATCAAGATGGCGCAAGTTCACCAGCTTTCCAATATTCATGGGTAATTCAACAAGATATTTACACATTGACAAATCTAATGTCTGTAAATTGCAGAAGGTTGTTACTGAACCAGGTAACCGTCTGATGTTTGTCCAAGATAGATCAAAATAGCGTAAAAATATCAAATTCTCGATTGACTGGGCCAATTCAGAAATCTTATATCGAGACAAAGATAGCACCCTTAAGCATCTCAGGCTTGGTAACATATCATGTAATACCTTATTGCCCAATAAAGATTGCCGTCCAACTTTTGAAAATGACATGAAAGTTCGTAAAGACTTAACCTCATTAACAACCTTGAATTTCTCAAATGTATCATATTTGCCCTGAACATACGAGAAATGACAAACTTTTTCACCGATACGATCAAGTGGCTTGTCATCACTTAACATAAAACAAAACTTTTCAGATATATGTTGAGCCAAATCATGGACTAGGTCATGCATTACAAAATAGGAATTGCTCTCGCTTAATCTTTGAAAGAAAGACCTTGAAAGCAGTTCACGAAAGTAGTAGATACCTTCGTCTTCCACTAATTTATTGCATTTGGGCTGTTGCACAAGATCTTCGGCAATCCATAACTGGACTAACTTTTCCTTCTCAAATTTGTAATCTTTAGGAAATTTCGAACAATATGCAAAGCATCGCTTTAAATGTGAAGGGAGATAATGATAGCTCAAATATAGGGCTGGATAAATGTCGCCCTTCAATTCCCATATCTCGCTGTTTAATACATCTTCCCAGTCCTTAACATCCACAGTACATTTTAAGAGACTTCCAAGCGATTTTACCGCTAATGGTAAGCCTTTACACTTCTCCACAATTTGTTTGCCAATCTTATCCAGGTTTGAATGAGCCATATAATATCCACTTCGAAATGCAAGCTTTGCAAATATTGACCAACAATCTTCAAACGTTAATTGCTGCAAGTGATGACTAGAAATGGTGCCTATTGCTTTTGCAACCTTGTCATTGCGTGTCGTTACGATAATCCTACTTTCTTGTACCCCAGCAGTGAAAGGTCTTTTTAAGCACTCCCAGTCACTGTAATTGTGATCCCAAACATCATCTAAGACAATTAGAAATTTCTTTCCAGTTAGGCTATCTTTCAGCTTGATTTGAAGTTGATCAAGGCAGTTGTCATTCTTTGATGCCGTGACATCATCAAGAATTTTCTTTGTTATCATACAAACATCAAATGGATTGGAAACACAAACCCATGATTTCATATGAAATTCCTCTTTTACTTTAGCATCATTAAAAACAAAACGGGCAACGGTTGTCTTGCCCATCCCAGCCATTCCTACAATGGGGATCACAGGGATCTCATTCTCAGTCGCATTGTCAGACAACAAAAATTCCATTATCTTCTCTTTGTCGCTATTCCTCCCATAGATATCATAATATTCATCTGCAACAGAAGTTTCTTGTCTTTGCCACTGTTTCCTTTCAAAATTCTCTGTCAAATTAAGAGAATTTTTTTGCTCGACAAACCCTTCCAACTCAGTGATGACCCTTCTCATTCTGATCTCAATCTCTTCATCAGACAGATAAACAGAAGTCGAGATAGAATGATTAATGTGTAACAGAGATTTCCTGATTGGACCGAAAAATCGGCTGAAACCAACCTGAGTTGTGCTGCCTTGGATTTGGGACTCAACATAATCGGCTTCCAACTTGTTCCTCAAGGCCTTGGTAGAGATCTCCTCCAGCAAGTCCTCAGCTTGGTAGACAACATGTTGGAGATCATCGAGCCAAGCTTTCACGTGCTTGTTTGTAATTTGCTTGACCTCCGCATTATCCATCACTGCTTGAAGCGCCAGTAAGGTTCTCTTCAGCTTCTCTACGAGTCCATCATCAAGTCTCTGTTTGGAAAAGAAGCTTATGAACTCCCGAGAAGCCAAACGATCAAACAACACTTGAAGGGAAGCCGAGAGAAAAGCTCCACCCACCAAAGCTTCGGCCATCTTTTCAACTGCAAGTAGAGAGAGACAGAGTAGCTGAGAAAAGCCTCTTAGATCGAGATAGATAGATAGAGATAGAAATTGGGAAGAACCTATTCAATCTTCAAATTTCTGTTGAAGAAGGACCAAGTAAGGATGTAAATGGTATCCACACAGCTAACATTACCCCAGTAAAGCTAGTAAATTGAAGAAAAGTCTAATATGGCTGCTGCAATAGGAATCAACATGGCAATGTGGACCTTGTGGTGGAACCCAACAATTGATGGAACTTACTTGCTAATAATGATGAACTTACTTGACAATATTGGTCATGCAAATTTTCTTAAGGAGGGAGGACAAAAGCATGTGCCAAGGACCATGGCTCTTTAAAAAGCAGTTAATGCATCAAGTAGTGATATATCACCAACAATGTCTTGAAAGTATTTGCTTTAATTACTTGATGCAACCGAATGCGTGTATCCTATGTCTCAAAGCAGCAGAAAACCCACAATCATCTCTTCCACCAATGCCCGTACTCCACTCTCATTCGGAATTCATTGCAAGCCAAATGTGGCTTTTATACTAATCCCAATTCATGGATGATTTTCTTCTCTGGGCCTCGTCAAATTGGAAACAAAAACTAAAATACAGCGGAATCACGAGTTAGCATATTTGGGTATATATGTTCTGTTAATATTATTTTGTTTATTTAATTGTTTTGTGTTAAATTTGAAACAGGAATTTTCATTATCATGTGTTGAGTCTAAGTTAGAACCATAGAAAATATGCACTGCATCCACTCTCCGAGGACAGAACTTTACAAATCATCTGGGGCATTCAATGTTTCCACTTGAGAGCCCCAAATTTTGCATATATTGTCCTCCACCAAACCATTCGTGAAAAAGTGTTCACAGCTCACATGGACCCACTAAAGCTAGCAAATTGAAGAGAAGTCTAATATGGCTTCTGCAATATTAGACTCTTCATCTCATGTAAAAGCATTTGAAACAAAGTTTTTTAATCTGCTCATGTAAATCCATACCTGAGATTTCACCATAGTTGTAGCCATGTTTACCGGTAGATTTTCTCTCAGGCACACTGTCGAGTACCTATTCTCCATTCCGAGGTTTAAGTTCATTCTATGGCTTGCTGTTCAGACAAGCTGAAGCTTTCTTCAAATCCCAAACATTTGTAGCCTTTGTCAAAGCAATGCTGAATCCCCCTCCGATATTTTCTTCTCCTGCTCTTTTTAAGCACTTGAGCGCCTTTGATTGTTTATTTAATCTATATGTGGGCTGCGGCTTCCATGTTTCCTCTCCCGATTGGCATTCCTTCATAAATTGGGCTTCCCACCACGTGCTCTCTCGTCTTCTGTCTACTCTATTTGTGTAATGACCCACCCACTCCACTCTACACAGATATTGTTTCATTTGCACACTTTTCTTGTTCATGATTTTTTTAAACGTGTCTATATAATTAATAGGCATCCATTGTTAGAAATTTTTATATATAAATAATAAAAATTAGGGTTAAGGGCATTAAAACTCCCCGAACAATTTTTTCTTTCTAAAAAAATCTCCTGAACTATTAAAAAGATACTTAATCCCCGAACTATTCAGCTTGTTGCAAAATGTTAGTTGGCCGTTTGAAATCTAACAAAAAGAAAGGCATGTGCGTCACGTGACCTGGCAAATATTCAAAAAGACAAAAATAACCTTATAGTTATTAAATGAATATTATATATACGAATATATATATATATACACACACGCGCGTCCACCCTCTCTCTCCAACCACCTTCACTGTTCATCCATGACCATCACCTCCACCGCCAGTCCATGGCTGCCACCGTCACCACCTGCCACCGCCGCCGCCATTGCCACCACTCTCTCGCCCTCACAAAGATTCTTCTTCCCTGACAACCACATCCCCCGTCCACACCCACTACCACCCCTATTTCTCTCCAATCCACCTCTCTTTTCTTGTTTTTTTCTTTTTTTCTCTCTCTTTAACCTCCAACTCCGGCAATGACGAGAATAACGAAAAGGTGAAAAATCATTCAACAAAAATCGTTTGTTGCAAAGGTATTGGAGGGGAATTGATTGAAAGAATAAAGAGTATTTTTTGGACAGTTGCGATTAGGTTGGTTTGGAGATCGGCTACAACAGATTTTTGGGGCTTTTGTGATTGAATCTATAGCTTTTATGATTGGGTCTTGCGGCTAACCCCAAGTTGCTAACACATTTGATAGCAGTATATAAGTTGCAGGATTATTAGGACAAAGCTTCACAAGCTTTCGCAGTAGCCGCCTGACTATGAACATGGGTCTCGATCGGATCAGTTCCACTAGAGGGTGCGGCCGCGAATGGTGGAGCTGAGAAGGAGGAGGGTTGCTTTGTCGGTGGCAAGGGCTCCATAAATTCCGGCGACCATGGCCTCCATAGATTCCGGCAGCGATCCGCCGTGTGTTTGGGAGATTTGGAGAGGTTCGTGAAGAGGAGATTTATATATGTTGAAGACCCAGATATCCCACAAAGCTTGCACCGGATGTTAGCTCCCCCACACCGCTGCCATGTGCAGAGATGGAAGAGAGAATGAACCAAGAAGGAAGAGAAACACTGTTGCGCATCCAGGCCACTTCAGCTTTTTACGTGGGTCAATTTTAAAGCCCGGTGTTTAAATGCATTTTATCATTTCTCAATTTTTTATCATTAAATTATTAATGATAGGATGACTTGTCAAATTTTCATTGGATATGGAGATTACAAAGGCCACATCAGCAACTAAAGTTGGATATGTATAATGGGCAAAACGGTAATTTTAGTTTTTAGTTAATGGTTGTTTAACACCTTGGGGTTAAATGCAACATTCTTATAGTTTAGGGGTATTTTTTAGTTCAGGTGAGTTTCTTGCAATTGGCTCATAATTGAGGGGGATTTAATGCATTTAACTCTAAAAATTATTTTATGGTCCTATGCACTACGTTTTCTAAAATAGGATTGCAATGTAATTATTGATACTTGATGGATTGGGTTGTACTTTTTAATTTGGTGGTCTAATTGAGACTATGATTTTATAAGATTGGATTGTGGTTTTCTAACTTATTTGGTAAGAGTTAATTTTAACCATTTATATCTAAATTTTCATGATAGGAAGGGAGACTTAGGTATGTTTTGTAGAGAAATCGTTCCCCCTGTTGTTGTTATATATAAAGGTTTTAAACCCTTATTCAGCCTTATCGAAGGACAACTCTTAGAAGGGGGTAAACCGTTATAATGTTTTGCAGGATCACAAATAATTCTAAGGCTATGATCCAAAATCAAAAGGCATATGTGCGTCAATCATCAATCAGGTACGAGACTAAATTATCTCTTTAATTAATTATAATATTCTTGATTTCTACGTGTAAATTATATGATTAAAACCCAACATCCATAATCTCTCCCCCAGGGCGATGTGGGATGTTGTAATATGTGACAACCCGGATTTAAAAAAAAAAAAAATTATTTCATTATATTTTTGGTTGTCATAATTAAATAATTAATTATGATTGGATTTACCCAATTGAGGATTAATGTTTCAGTTTGTTTGATTTAGTTGTTGCATATTATATATATATATATATATATATATATATATATATATATATATATCATATCTGTTGGAGATGAATTGAGATATGTGTGTAGTGGTTTGTATATATATATATATATGTAATGTATTATGGTATGGATGAGAAAGAGGTATACTGTTAGCCATAAATGGAATGAAAAGGATTGAGATTGAAGTGGTAATGACGGGGCCCGTGAGGAGAATAAATGGGTTTAATTTTGGTTATATATATATATTGTGATGATGGAAAGATTAAACAAGAGATACGGAAAAAAAAAAAGAAGTAGGTGGTTGATCCGTGGAGGTAGTGGCGGGGTCCACTATTGACTTGTGATCATTGTGTTGATATTTTGTGAATTGTCTGGTGAGCTGTTGTGTCATGTCGGTGGTTTTGCTTATATATTTGGTGTGTGTGTGCACTACTGACTTAGAGAATTTGAGTAAAGAGATTAGAGAGCTCACAGAGAAAGAATAAGAGGAGGCACACACGGAGAGGGCTGAAAGTAAGCCAAGATGGATACACAGAGAGGGCTGACAATTGATGCTCTAATATTTCAGTGCTTTATTTCTTTTATAGTGGATTTAGACCTTGTCACTGAAGGCAAAGTCAACGAGCACGTTAAAATCTACTATTTGATCGGAGCAAAAGTGTTTTTGGTGCACCTTGGGTTTTCGTGATTGGGCTTTAAATTGGGGCTTTTCTTCAATTTAGAGGTGGGGGTGTTTTAATTCACTCAATCTTTAGTTCTTGTGATTCATTTTCCTATAATTAATGTACAACTTGCTTGAATGTGATTATTCTTTGGAGAAATTTCTTTAGTGTTGTATATTAAATTTCTATATCCATGTGGGTGTGAAAGTGATTTATGAGTAGATAGTTGTTAAAATGAATAGAGAATCATGCTTAAATGGTTGTGTTTTAAATTCTTATATTTAATGGCTAAAATTTGATTATTTATACGCATGTTGTTTTTCTATGAGAATTATCTTGATAAGCTTGTAATATTTGTTAGAGTTAATTTGCATGATATTACGGCATTGAGACGTATGAAGCATTCATGCATTCATTAGGAAAGAAAAGGCAGAAAGTATTTAAAAATAAAGGAAATTGTTTTTGGGAAATAATTTTTGATGAAAGGTTTGTGAAAACCGGACGCCTAGGAGGCGCCTAGTGGTCCGGAGTGTTAATACGATCCAGAGGGAGGTTGAGCTAACTAGGCCCAGATGACGCCATGGAGGTGCCATGTGGTCTGGAAAAGCTAGCCAATCATTCCCTCGTGGCGCTATAGAGGTGTTATGGGCCAGATTGCATTAACGGTTTGGAATGGTATAAAGGAATTACTTTGGAAAACGGGGAGCGACATTGGCATGGCATTACATCTCATTAATATATTTAGTGTATGGGTGATAGGATGATATTAGGTTATATGCTGGTTGTGGTGTTATTGATATATGTGTGTGTGTATATATATATATATATATATATATATATATATATATATATATATATATATATATTCTTTAAGGCATGATCCCGTTTGCCTTTACCTATTCTTCATATGAATTCACGAGGTCATAAGAAGTGTGTCTTAGACACTTTCTACTGAGCTTATGCTTACCCTTTTATTTTTAACATTTTTCAGGACACGAAAGGGACGTGGTGGACAACGCTCTTCCACAGGGTTCGATGGGTTAGTGGATTATTTTGACATATTTTGTAGCTATGATCTCATTTTATTATTATTGCTATTACTATTTTTTTAAAACTTTGGGATGACATGTATATTATATATTGACGTAGGAAAGGACGGTAGTGTTCTTAGTTGACATCGGTTTCGAATAAGAACCCGGTTAGCGATTCAGACCCTCGGGTTTGGGTCGTTATAGGATTGCAATATGGTTATTGATACTTGATGGATTGGGTTGTACTTTCCAATTTGGTCGTCTAATTGGGAGTATGGTTTTATAAGGTTGGATTGTGGTTTTTCATTTTATTTGGTATGAGTTAATTTTAACCATTTATATCTAAGTTTTTATGATAGGAAGGGAGACTTAGGTATGTTTTATATAGAAGCCGTTCCCCCTTGTTGTTGTTATATATAAAAGTTTTAAACCCTTATTCAGCCCTATCGAAGGACAACTCTCAGAAAGGGGTAAAGCGATCTAATGTTTTGCAGGATCACAAAGAATTCTAAGGCTATCATCCAAAATCAAAAGATATATGTGCGTTAATGATCAATCAGGTACGAGACTAAATTATTGTAACGACCCTAAACTGAATACCAAAAATAATAAAAATTTAAATAAAAAAAATTTCGGCATGACCTCCGGTAAAAATGGTCATACAACAACATGTTCAAATAAAAAAAAATAACGGCCTTTCGAGACCTATCCAACCTGCCCCAACACACAATACCAAAGAAATATAATGCATTCCCCAATACCACAACATCAACGACCTTCCCAATTTAGCCCATCAACGTCATCCCTTTCAACTTAAGCATTTACATGATCTCAGTTTACAACAAAAATAATCAAGTATCTTAGTTATGTTACAGGGCTATGATTTGCAAAAATAAATACTCGTTTACATAGTTAAGACAATACAAAAAAAGAAATGGGCTAAGATACAAAAGATAACAAAATACAACTCCTAATATTCTTCAAGCTTGCGGGGGATTGTCATCCGCCACTTCTTTTCCGAGCTCTGAAAAATGTTAAATAATAGGGGTGAGTAAAATTGCTCAGTAGGTAGTGCCT